TTTGAATCACCCTGTATACTAGATAAATTCGACCTATAAAAGTTATTATAATGTTTAATCATAAAGGAAAATATTTGATTCGTTGCATTTCCAACTTTCATTAATATTGATACCTTTCCGTTTTTTCTTCAAAATAGTGATATGACATCTGAAAAGAAATTCAACGCAAAAAAATTTTTTTAATTAATTTTTTATTAAATGTTAACTATTTTAGATGTACTCGTTAAAATTCAAATAAAAATGAAAAACTATACGAGCAATATGCATAATGTGGTTGTATTTTGATTATTGCTTTATTAAGTGATACAATATTATCAAACGTTTCAGTCTTAATTTGAACCTTTTTCTGTATAAGTATTTCTGTCTGAACTTGTTTTAACGCATGTTAACTATACTTAATAATATACTCTTAACTATATGTATTACATATCTTAATAAATAATATTTAATTCAATAAATATTATGTAATGTTTTTAATATCTTATTTTATATTTAATATCTTAATTTAATATTTTTAATATAATCACAAAGGTATATGGATTTTCAGCACTAGTTTTATGATATTATCAAGAAATTCTAATGATTGCAAAAATCTTCACAATAATAAAGAAAATTACTAACTATATAATTTTAATTGATGATAATTTTAATAGCATACAATTTTTAAAAATATCAGAAATCAATACTCAATAGTTGAATTTTGATATTATATTTTGATATTATCAAGAAATTTCTAATAATTACAAATTTTCAAAAGATAATAAAATTCAACTAAATGGTATTGATTGATGATATTTTTAAATTGTATGCTATTAAAAATTATCGTTAATCAAAATTATAGTTAGTATTTTTTTTTATTGTGAACATTTGCAATCATTAGAATTTCTTGATAATATCATAAAAGTAGTGCTGGCAAAAAGGAATCTATATATTTTCAGGGTCTAAAGCGGGTCAACGGAGGGTTTTAACTAAACCCTACTTTGAAGCTTTAGCAGGAAAAAAGGAAATTTCGGACATATTGTAGCGCCAAAGTAGGTGCTATTATATACATACGATACAATGCATAACATCTACTTTGACTCTCTTATGCCTACCTCAAAATAAAAGATTAAGGTTCAATATAGGTGCTAAATTTCGACTCGGGATGCTATCGCAAACATAAATACAATGTTTAATCGCAAAACTAAGATCCAGCCGAATAGAAGCAATTGTTGCAGCCTTATCCTGCAAAAATAGTCTCCCATATATATTGTTGTACGGCCAAAAATCTAAATCGATTACTTACCACCTGCATTCACCGCAAAGATGCTAACTTGGAATCGTATATACGCGACATTACCGTCGAGTCAATAATTCTAAAGCCGCGGAATTAAGAATATCCGGAGAAAAACGTGTTCTCCCAGATAAAGTAAATTACATCGCGACGCTACCCCAAAGGCGACACCCTCGTTGAAAAGCTGAGGTGACATTTTTACCGAAAGCAACCTCGGACTTGTCGCTTTTCGGGAGGCGCGAAAACGTGGTCGCACCAACACGCCTACGGCCCGCACAGCCGCAAACGTGTTCGCGTCTTTGGCAAGGATATTACACCACGATAAAAATGATTACGCGACAAATTGCACCGTCCGCCGCTTCGGCGAGGAAAGGCGCCGCCGCCGCCGCCTTTCGCCACCACCTCCCGTCCCGGTTAATAGGATGAAATATCGCGGCCTCTCGGTAGGTAGGTAGGCGAAAACCCCGGGGAGAGTCGCTGAGAGGGCCGGCAGGATCGAAGGGAGGGACCGCTCTCTCTTCAGGTATCGGTGAATTAAGCCCTGCAGTCGTCGCATTCGCGCCGCCCGCATTCGCCGATCGCATTTTCCGGAGGTACGTTTCGGCGTGACGAGATCCGATCGATTCAGCGGTTGATGCGTGGAATAAATTATCCCGCATCAGCGCTCGTGGCGTCACTTCGAAATTGATTCTCTCTATCTCGCTCCTCTATATCTCCATCTCTCATCCGGGTCCCCTGTCTAGCCGCAGTGCCGCAGCATCGTCATGGGAACGTGCTCCCTTCCCCTCCCACCGGGGATATTCTTCTACGTGCCGAATGAATCCGCGCTGATCAGAATTTGTTTTAATCGATTTACCGAGTCAGCCCGCTGCCGCCGCGCGCGCCCGTTCTCTCTCTCTCTCTCTCTCTCGTTCTCTCTCCTCGCCCGAACCTCGCCGAGCCTCGTTTCACGAGCGCCGAACCGAACTATTCGCCAACCGCACCGCGGAGTACTCGAAGTATTCGCATTACCGGCGGGGATTCACCGCGTTCGGCCGCCGCCTCCGTGATCGGGGTTTCCAAAAGGGAGCACCCAGACGAGACGAGATGAGACAAGAGCGAGGAAGAGAAAGAGAGAGAGAGAGATAGGGCAGAGAGGAGGAGAAGAGGAGAGAGATATAGAACGGCGCTCTCTCGTTGCGGCATTAGATACGGGACGGGCAGAGTTATACGGCAACCGGGCCCGCTCGTGCGGCTACGCGCCGCGAAATTGACTCGCTCATCCGTGTACACCCTTATAGCGACCCCACGACTGCGCAATCCATTACGGCGCCATCGGGTTACCGGGCATCGCGCGGACCCCGCGCTGCGGTGTGGGCTTTTTGTTTCTGCCGAGTTCTCGCCGCGCCGGCAGAGTTCACGCAAACGAAGCCGAAGTCCGTCCGACACTTCACGTCCGCAGTAGAAATGGGGTTTACGTCAGGCACGAACGGACATCCACGAGCATCTCCCCGATCCTCCCTCCGCGCGCACCGGAGACGTTCCTCCTGCCGGCCGGCGCGCTGGGGAAAAAGGAGGAATCGCGTGCTAGGGCCGGATTTCCGGCTACAGACAGGCCAGTTGCCGTCGCGTCACGTTCCGACGTATTTATTGGAAAGGGACGATCGTGAAGTTCGAAATTGCGCGCGCGATCGGCACATTAAAACTTCAATCTCATTACAAGCTTTATTCGATGTCCTACGATATTCTATCCATATCGAGCCCCTGTATTACGTAATATTGGCCATTCGCGTAAATTGGCAGTGACTCGGCGCAAATTCCTTCGTAATAAATATTTAGCGCAATGGAGAGTCATTTTATACAAGACTTTGATTTTCAGGAAGGCATTAAATTCATCATGAAACAAAGTATTAAATTTACATGTTACAAGAAATTAACCGCATCGCAATTACGTTTTTCCATCGATAAAAAGCGAAATGCAAAAATTATATTAGGTCCTTGAATAAGTTCTCGCTGTTTCTTAAAAGATGGCGTAGCGGCACTCTGTGCATGGAATTTCGTACGGAAACGCATCAGCTAAGTAGTACTATATGTAACCTCAAATTCTAGTAGATACAGTTTACCACAGTGTCAACCACGTGTTTAATTACCTATTGCGAAAATGTCTACTTTTGTGCCAAATAAAGTGTTTTTGCGGGGAATTTTATTGCACTGCTTTATTCAAAAGAAATCTGCAGCTGAAGCACACAGAATTCTTGTTGAAACATATGGTGACAATGCTCTGTCGAATACGACATGCAGAGACTGGTTTAGGCGCTTTAAAAATAATGACTTTGACCTTGAAGATAAAGAACGTTCTGGAGCACCGACAAAGTTTGAAGACGAAGAAACCTAATGAAACTATCACGGGAGCTCGCTATCGACTTCAGATGATGCGTTTGAGTCGAGCTCTAAAAGAAAAGCGGCCACTATACGGGCAGAGACACGACAAAGTCATTTTGTTACATGACAATGCTCGGCCACATGTGGCAAAACCAGTCAAAACTTACCTGGAAACGCTTCAATGGGAAGTTCTACCTCACCCGCCGTATTCACCGGACATAGCCCCCTCGGATTACCACTTGTTTCGGTCGATGGCGCATGGTTTGAGCGAGCAGCGCTTCCATTCTTTCGAAGAAACCGAAAAATGGGTCGATTCATGGATTGCGTCAAAAGATGAATCGTTTTTTCGACGGGGGATTCAATTACTGCCAGAAAGATGGGAGAAAGTGGTCTCTAATGATGGACAATACTTTGAGTAAAGTTATTGTAAGCCTTATATTTTAAATTAATGTTTTTTTAACAAAAAAACAGCGAGAACTTATTCAAGGTCCTAATATATTTACGAAAAAAATGAATATATAACTTTTATTCACCGCTACGTTGCTTTCAAGGTATCAAATAATATAAGAAAAATATGACTGGACGTATGAAAGAAATACTAGCGGAGTGGTATCAAAGATGACTCAGTCAACCTTAATGTCTGACCACGTTCACGCACTCCGTCGTATCAAGAATTCATGTATCGTCATTCGCGGCCGATATAAATATTTTATACTTGGAGCGCGCGCATCGAACGTGGAAACGACCGCAGTGTATCATCGAGGAGCAGCCTCCCTAGAATATTTGCGTCCGTCACGTCCGAACGTCCGGATGAGTCACTGTAAAATCGAGAAATAGTCGCGGACAAGCCGGAAGTTAATCCTCGTTACCGCGATAATAATGATCCAAGTTTGTCGTCGTCATTGCAGCTCGAGCGACGACGCATCGCGACGGTCCGCGCGTTAAGAGAACTTTATAGCTGGGAAAACGAGGAAAGCGGAACGAGATTTTCTCAGTGAATGGCTTCGGACGAACGAAAGTATTATTTGCGCCACTATCGAGATTCATGCGGAATAAAATAGCGGTAAAAATGTTTCGGACCGTTTCAATAAGAATTACGACGATGGCCAGTGTGACGGTACACAGTTATAAAACCGAGAAACTCGGAAAATTGAAGTACTGAGAAAAGGAAGAAAGGGAAGAAGACGAAGGAGAGGAGGAGGAGGAGGAAAAAGAAAAAGTCATTTAAAGAGAGAGAGAAAGTGCGGTAAAGTAAAATTGATTTGCTGCTCTGGGACTAGGACTTCTCTTGGAAAACTATACTTGGTATATAAGTACATATGTGATAAATAAATGACCACATATATAACATTTTATTTACAATCTCAAAACTATAAAAGTATAAAAAAGTACAAGCAAAAAAGTACAAGTAAAGATATAACACAGTATTCAAAAGATTATGCTCTTTAATAAAAATAATCTCAAAATTCTTTATATTCAAAGTTTAATTTCGTCCCCCGAGATATTTTTTATTGGATGTTAAAAAACAAATTATCTTACAACAAATTGTCGCCTCTCTCTCGAAAAATTTTCCTCCGGAAAAAAAACTGACTTTTAAACATTTATCATAAAACTTTAAATCGGAACTTCTCGGAACAACTCGTAGACGTATCATTTTCAAGCAACCCAGTTTCTCTGTATGACAAATTAAACTTGTGGATTTAAATTGAATATAAAGATAAGAAGACAGAGAAGGAAGAGCGATACACTTAGCCGACAGTGTAATTACGTTTCCACTCTCATTGCTTTGTATTCCATTCTATCTACAGCGTCATTGTTATTACGCTCTGTGCGGAGTACTCGCGTGCAAATAATAATTATCTCGGGTCGGTCTCAGAGAGCGCGAGGCAGCGCGTAGACAACGGCGCGCGCGATAGCGTCCAGGGGATTATTCATTATCACGCCGGCGTATCTGTGAAGACGAGAGAGAGAGAGAGAGGTTCGGTTTGCAAATAATACGAGAAATCGATCTCGTCATTGCCGCAGGTATAATAGCACGATGAAGATCTCATCTTCCCGGCAGAATGGTCGTGACGACGTTCGTTCTTTACTGTTATATCCCTCCCGGCCGGAAACACAGGGAGGACGCTTTTGTCCGTGAAAACGCAAAAAAAAAAGAAAAGAAAAAAAGAAAGATAAGAGATCTTACCGCGACGATATATACGAAAGAACGTTGTTGCAAGGCACGTCGGAAATGTACGACCCCCTGGATGGCTTTTAGTCGGATATACTTCTATACAGTAAAAACTTTTGTCGTTGCATTTGTCGATGAGAGCATTCTTTCTTTCAGGTACCACTGCTCCCCCCTCCCCCCCTTCACCCTTCCTCCTTCACCGCTCGTCTTCTTTCAATCCTTTCCAACGTCTCTTTAATTTTTCACCTCAAATTTACGTATATAGCAGATCTGGCGCGAGAACGATTCCCCCGTCTCTGCGCGTGCATTCCGCTTCCGTTTTTATTTGCAGTCGTAAAAAAGAAAATTGTGGGCGTACCTCGTTTGTTGAGCTGATCCTCCACCACCACGGCGGATATCATGAAGACATTACCTACGCTGCCGGCGACAGCGAGGGAGGCCAGCAGCAGAAGTCGGGCCACTCTGGACCAGGCCGACGACAGTGTCACCGGCGAAATATCAAGGTCACCATCAGTGACGGTGCTGATCACACCGTTATACGTCGCTGTCGCGTTCATTCTGAAACTGAAAAAGAGAACGAGATTTTATTTTACGAAATAAAGATCACGTTTGTAGATTGTAACAAATAAACGTGACGATTAAACATCATCTAGCATTGTATCAAGGCTAGCTTTCACCGCAATTTCAACGGGAGAATTTGCGCTTGCTTTTAAATATAAATTAAGATTGCAGGTCTACGTGGTGATTGCGTCTATAATTGTGACTCGACATTTTCCTGGGAAATATCGCATGAGTGATTAGTGGCAAAGGCAACAAAGTTTAACTTCGATGAGCAACACATCCCCTTCCCTCTCTTATTAATTTAAAGGACGGTTCACGATGGTCTTCAAGTCTGGAACACGGAGGAAACGAGGCTGAAGCTATTCGATATCACGCTATTACACGGAGAGAGGCCCTTTGAAGATTAGGGCCGACAAGACCATACCGACCACCCTAATTGTGAATTATCGATCGGACCGTGGCGTGGGGATAGTCACCTGTTCCGATCGTGGTCCATGTTAGGTTTCCACAATGTCCTCGTTGTCGCTAACAACATCTGCGCAATATCATGGTAATTAGCAAATATAAGTGTCGTGCACGCAGTCAGATAACAGCGCCGGCGCTTTGCAGGACGCTACGCGTGTTGAGAAAACACGTTCCGCGATTTTAAGACGCGTAACAGTCGCCTGAACAGCCCGCAAACTTACCTGCAAAAGGAAGCTGCTTCGCAGACATAATGCTTCGCATTGATAAAACGAGACAGGTGCTTTTGCTTTGCAAGAAGAGAAAATTTCGGAAAGTACGAAAACAATGTTTCAAATTACGCATTATCAGTATTAATGCAAATTGTGCCAAGAACCAATCTACTTTGCTATTTTGCACATAAATGGAAATGTCTCGGTTGTACCCACAACGTTCCCAAAGTGGGTCTTAAATTTTCATTAGCAAATGAAGCCGTAGGCGGCTATTGAAATGTTCAACGTGCCGCATTTCGTCGTGCGCGAAGAAATTGATCGCGAGAATTCAATTTAATAATAAAGTCGCGTGATCACTCGCTCCGCCGATCGACGAGTTGTTCCTTACTTCTTCCAGAAATATTTTCACTTGTTGCATTAGGCCATGAAATGGCGAGCCCCCTTCGAGCCAATAATCTCATCAATCCCGTTGACCTTTCACGCACATCGACGTCAAATCAATTTCCCCGCGGACGCTGCCGGTATCTTTTCCTAATTGAAAAACGACGAGCGAGAACGAGACGCCCGTTCGCGCCAATGGAAAAAACGGAAACTGCAAAATTCTCGCTTCCGTCTTCGCGCGAAAGCGGATCAGCCGGAATGATCGATGTTCGCTGTATACGAGATGTCCCAAAACTATCCCATTTTCCCTCGCCTACAGATTTTTTAACGAATTTAGCAGTCAATCTCTGTGACGAACAGCTGCATTATTTATTTTTCCATTTGTTCATTTTGCACACGCCTTGATATTTACTACGTTTCGAAATTAATATCTACTGTTGGAATAAAATCTGGAATTACGTCAACACATAAAAACTTCGTCAGCATTTAATTTATAAGAATCACGTTCATCCTTAATCGCTTCTAACTCGGAAATTACCCAAGTTAATTTCTGCTAAATTCGCGGTTGAACAAATATTGTGACAATTTTGGGACACCCTGTACGTGGGTATCTGTGCGTCTTACGGATCCCGGGGGGCTACGACTCTTACGTCCGCTTTAAGCGGCTTTTAAATTGTAGATCTATTTCGAGAGGTGTCTCCGACCGTCTGACTACTCGACGAGATGTATAGATTACAATCTCATTGCGACACCTTGCGAAAGTGGATCTCATTCGCAATGCAAAAAGATGCAAACGGCCCCATCGGCGGAAGAGAGCATCTCACGTTTCATGAGGCTCCTTCAATCCCGTTCGAATGTATGCGTAAAAAACAAGTTGCACGCTCGCTCGATTCTGGAGCGTGTCTCGACGAAGACGTAACGATGGATGCGCTTACAGCGGCATGTTGACGGACAACCTCCATCGTGGAGTTCTGAATGAACTAGATTACAAAAAGATGTGATTGCGTCTCCGCGACTAGAGGAGAAAAAAAAGACGGCACGGCTCGAAAATCTGGGCGTTAACGGGCATTCGAATGCAGTCTTTTGAATTATTCCAATTGTACAGTCCGAAATCTACTCCACTCCCGGTTTACAATTGAAATCTCCACACAAATCCCCGGCACAGACGGCCGCAAAATTGCCGCATCTCCCGAACGGATTGTCACTTTATCTAGTTAGAAATGCGCGACGGAGACCAGTCGTCTAGTCCGAGCTCGGGCGGACCACCGCGACATTGTTCTCTCGTCACGTCTCGCGGTTGGAAATTTCATATTTCCATTCATACAGACGGCTCTCGCGGCGAGGTGCGAGAGTCGAGTCGCCTTACATGTATGCACAGAAGACAGGAAACTAACGGACTGTACTATAACACTAGCGAACTCGCTCCGCGTGTAGCGATATCGGATTTCGTGGGATCGATGATAGCCGGGATACAGTTAACTCCGCGCCGAGTCTAGTTCACGTCCGTTTTTCATGCTCGTGTCCGACGGACGGGTGTATTCGGTGCTAAACGATAGCGCTCGCGTGCTTAATTGCGCGCCACCTCGACGTCCCCTCGCATCCCGCGTGCTCCACGGCGGCCGCTAAAATTTTTACGGCGCCGACATACGCGAGATCGTGACCCTCCGCACAGCAAAGGAAAAAAAATGTATGACGATCTCGCTTTCCCGCTCAAGATCGTTCCAGCCGGTGCGCGGAGCTCGCAACGACACTTTTTATGACTCATTAAAGCGGCCGAAATCGAAATTATGGCGCAGCGATATACCGTGTTTTATTGACGATAAAGCCCGGCGTGGAGTAATTAGGCTCGTATCAAGTTTGCAAACTGCTTCATTTTAAGACTTTTGGAACTCCGCGACTCCGCGTGCGCGCGCGCGGGTGGGCGCGAGCGCCATCGATGCTCGAGGAGCGGCGCCGTTAATTTGCATGAAAGTAATCCGCAAATGAATATTCACCCGGCATATCATTAAGACCGTGAAAGGGGACACAGACCGGCCAGAGTTAAGAGTTAATGTTCACGCGTCCGTAACGATCAAAACATGTTCATTCCGTATTTATATATGTAAACCACCGAAACTCACAGAACAAAATAAACATGAGCCTTACTACCAATTAAACAAGCGTACAATAACGCCGAGACTTGTTTCCCCCCTTCCCCCTCCGCCGAGAGAGCGGCCGAAGATCTAAATGACTGATCTAAACCACCCGCAGAAGCATCTTCCATGTGGACGCGAAACCGAATGACTATTTTTAACGTTAAACGATCCGTGTAATTACACGCCATTACCTTCATACATCTTATCCGCAGTTATGGATTGGATATATAACGCTATAACTCCTTTAATCCAACGGGAGACGTTGTAGGGTGGATTCCTGAGCCATCGCGCTCCGATCGGCCGCGTATAAACCGTCGATGGACGATTACAGAGCGGAAAATAAAATTTCTCCGAGAAACGTACGTGCCGGCGTGATAAAGGCGGCAACAAATTTCGCGGATGGCGGAGTTACGCGATTACGTGACGCGTCGGCCGGGAAGGTTACGAGAAAGTTTCTGGAGTGTAAAGTGGGCTTAAGGCAGGTATAGGATAAGAAGTCACCGAGGCGAGGCTTTATGAGAAGGAGAGAAAGAGAGAAGGACGACGCGGTCGTGAGAATGTACACGGCTAAGCAAAAAATTCCTCTCGGAAGGTGATCGGTTGTGCTTGAAACGGCCCGGAAGTTTCATGGATGATATCGACCCTTTAACATCCGGGTCACGTACGCCAGCATCTTTTAATAAATAATGCATCTCGCCGATATTTGACGCGAGATGCTGTAATTTCTCTCGACCACATTTTTGACATACTTTTACGAGAGGCAAGATGAAGAGGACTTAACAGAGGCATGAAAATCGTAACAATTTATCTGGCTTATACAGCTTCAGCATTAATGTGCTTAACACCCGGATGCGCAATTTCGTTCTTCAAATTATCTCGAATAACTATTTTCTCATATTTATAGCAACATTATAATATTCTCGTTTTTAACAATTTTAGAATTACTATTTTCATCAAAAAATAGTTCAGTATCAAAATTTCTCACTATAAAAAAAAAACATTTGTCTATTATCGTTATCTAATGTCATGTATAGCAAATCACTTTTTTATTTAAATTTTAATATTGAACAATTAAAACTTATGTATTGGATTTAGATTGATATCGCCGCTACGGTAATTACGTTATTAAGATTTTCTTCATAATATCTGAGAGAGTTCAGCAGCCGCTCTTTTGCATCGCATATAATTAAGATAATCCTTTTTCATGCACATAATATGCAAAAGCAGATTATGAAAGAGCTCCCCACGGTCGAGGAAACGGCCGGACTGCGTAACGCGATCTTCAAGCTAAAAGAAATTCTTACTAGCTCCTTCTCGTAGAAAACCTGGTTCCCAAAACCACGCACTCATCATGCAGGTAGATATCACCTGCCTTCTTTATCTCTCTCTCTCTTTTACCCACTCTCTTTAGTATCATCTTACCTACTGGATTTTAAGTTATGCGAAACACAACACCACACCAATTAGTATTTTACGCGGAATAAGAACGAATTTTTTGAGTAATATATGTATATTCTTTTATAAATAGCCACATTTTATATATTATTTATATATACACACTCGTGCACGTGTGTATGCGCGCGACTACAAATCATCCGAATAAGCGTTAGTTTACAAACCAGTTCGCGTCTTTTTAATGCTTTATTTATCGCATAACTTCTTGATGACGGTGCCGCTCGTAAATCGAGAACTTCGGTGTCGCACTTAAGATCCCTGTTTTTCGCACGCGAGAGGCTCGGCAATGCGTCACGCGTATACTGTAGAATGTGGAATGTAGCGGCAATTATTTCTTTAGTAGACAAGCAATGGAAAA